TCACAGTCTCTGGGTTGTTGTTTTTGCATCTCTCTCCCTTGAGGGGCACAGTCGCTCCCACTAGTGTTCTACTTCAGTGGGGCTTGGCACTGAATCCCCACTGGGTTCTTCGGGGTTTCAGAAAAGAAAAGGGGTGTCTTTCAAAGTAATGTGGATTGCCTAGGGTCTTGTGAGAAGGGAGAGTTTGTTTAAGAAAGGCTATGGCATAGGACAGGGATAGATGGAAGAACTCTTCATTCTGAGCACAGGGAGAGCTTTGCGCTAGAAGCTGGGCAGGGCACTTTTGTTAGATTCAGCAGAATTAAAAGCAATCACATCCCTGGTCCTTGCAGTGCAGTCAATGCTCTTGGAATCACTTACATGGGCTGTATTTCTTGCATGTTATCACAGAGTGTCTTTGGAGCCCCAAGTAATTCATACCGTTATTGTATAGTAAAGTCTCTTCACAATGTCAGGGTATGTAAAATGAGACTATCGTCCCTCAGGCTGGGAGAGAGAATGAGGGAATAGAGAAGAGGAAGCTCCTATTGGAGGGTTCTCCTGGCTGGAGATGGAGGATAAAAAGAAATTCTTCTTTTCTTGTCTTTTAATCCTCCAGTAAAGCACTCATTTGATAACCATATTGTGAGATGGGGCAGCATGATACAGAGGAAAGTATGCTAGATTTGGAGTCGGAGGACCCAGGTTCAATCCTGTTTCGATCAGTAAACATTTGTCAAGCATCTACTATATGACAGGCACTGTGCTAAGTGCTAGGGATACAAAAAGAAGCAAAAGACAGTCCCTGAAAGTGATAAATGTTGGAGCTTGATAGTTTTGTTGTATATTTGAAAGGAATTGCAAGTTGTGCAGAGTAGATTTGCAGTTCCACATGCAATCATCTTTTTTATTGTACTGTTGTGAAAATGCATGTATTATTCCATAAATTAAAAATAAAATTGAATAATAAAAAGTCAGTCCCTGCCTTCAAGGAGCTTACAATCAAATGGAGAAGACAACATGCAAATAAATATATACAAAGCAAACTACATACAGGATAAATACGAAATAATTAATAGATGGAAGGCAAAGGAATTAAGAGGGGTAGGGGAAGGCTTCCTGTAGAAGCCAGGATTTTAGGTGGAGCTTAAAGGAAGCCAGGGAGGTCAGTGGTCAGATCAGAGGGGGGAGAACATTCCAGGCCTGGGGGCAGCCAGCCAGAGAGAATGCCTGGAGCCAAGTAATGGAGTGTCTTCTTTGTGGAACAGCCAGGAGGCCAGTGTCACTGGATGAAAGAGTAGGCCTTGGGGAGTAAGGTCTAAGAAGGCTGGAAAAGTAGGAGGGGGCTAGGTTATGAAGGACTTTGAATGCCAAACAGAGAATTTTGTATTTGTTCCTGGAGGCAATACGAAGTCACTGGAGTAGGAATGGCAGCGGTGGTGACATGATTGAACCTTCTTTTTAGGAAAAGTACTTTGGTGGCTGAATGGAGGATGGGTTGGAGTTGAGAGACACTTGAGGCAGGCAGAACTACTGGCAGGCTATTGTGATAATCCAGGCATGAGGTGATGAGAACCTATACTAGCGTGGTGGCAGTGTCAGAGGAGAGAAGGAGAATTTGAGACACGTTTCTTCCTCTTACCAGTTGTGTGACCTTAGGCAAGTCATTTAATTTATATGGAACATAGTTTTTTCAGCTGTAAAATGAGGAGATTGGAATTGATTATCTCTCAGGTCCCTCCTGCCTGTGAATCTGTGATCCTAGGAGTCTTTGTGATAAGGAAGTGACCCTAGATTCTAAGTGTGCTCCCTTCTCACCTCTGCCTCAAAGACTCCCATTCTTCCTTTAAGATGCAGGTCAAACACTGTTTTTTTCATGAAGTCTTTCTTGATCCTCTCAAATTCTAGCTTCTTTCCCTCTCAAGATCTTTGTATTTAACTACTTTGTATGTATTTTATTTATTAACTTCATATTTATATTGTACATATTTATTTATATTCTTGTTGTCTCCCTTACGTAAACTCCTTGTGGGTAGGGATTATTTCATTTTTTGCACTTGAACCCTTAATGCCTAGACCAGTGGCTGGTGTATAGTAGGTGCTTAATAAATGCTGTGCTTTCCTATGCCGGGAAAGCTTAACTTGTGACAGGTCCTACTTGGCTAAGTTTGGAAAGCCTTATCATCCAAGGGTTGGCCATAGGGTGATACTTTGTTTGGTTAACTGCAACTCATAAACACCATCTACTAAGTCCTATAGGGGATATGATTTAAACCAATCAATCAATCAATCATTCAACTAACAAGCATTTATTAAGCCCTTGTTGGCACTGTGCTAAGAACTGAGGACACAAAGAAAGTTTAAAACATGGTCTCTGCCCTCAAGGAGCTCACATTCTAACGGGGAGACAACATGCAAAGATTGTGCAATATGGGCCTGTCTGTAATTCTGCCACTGGCTTTGATAGATGCCCTCTCTTGGCCTGTTGACCAACTCAGAATATACATATACATATATGATAGATACATATCCATACACACACACACACATATATAAATAGGAAATGAAGAAGAAAAATGTTGTCTTATTCTTAGTTAGGCTGTGTATGTCCCTTCTATTCCTTACTAAAAGTTTCCAAAAACATTTTTTTCCTGGAAGTTTGTACTTTCTTTAGTTTTAAATTTTTTTGTGTATTATATGTCTGTAATTATAGTCATTTATATATAGTATATGCATATAAATACGATAGATTACTATCTACACATCTATCTATCTGATCTATTTACACAAATCTCTTTTGCATTATATATTAGGGCTAATACTTATTCATATCAGTAGAATATTAGATTACTAGATGGTGCTTATGTCGACACTTTCTCAGCCACTCATGTCTGCTACCTTTATTAAGGGCTCTCACATTAGAACTTGTTGAGGTAAAGCAGTAACACATGGGTGTTTTTACTCTCTAATCACAAGGCTAATGATTGTTTTTAAGACATATCTGCTGATGACTATAGGTATCCATTATGAAACATTGTTGCTGAGAAGAGTGATGTGTCACAAGAAATATTTTCTATATGGTATAAATAAACATAATATTCTGGTCTGTGAACAACGTATCTGAGAGATCTTAGTCAACAGTGTGGTATCTGTCATTCTCTATCTATTTGTAGCATGGGAAGGAGTTGGTAAGATCGATGGGATCACATGACTTTAGAATAGGAAGGACACTTAGACATCATAGGAGTGGGGAATCTTGAGGCTATACATGGCCTTCTAGGTCCTCAAGTGGGGCCCTTTGATGGAATCCAAACTTCACAGAACAAATCCCTTAATAAAAGGATTTGTTCTGTAAAACCTAGACTCAGTCAAAAGGCTGAACCCAAGGACCTAGAAGGCCACATGTGGCCTCAAGACCACAGGTTCCCCACCCCTGAATTAGTTTAAAACTTTCCTTGTGTAGGTGGAGAAAACTGAGGCCTAAGAGGTGAAGTGAGTCACACAGAAAGTTAGTTGGTGGCAGAACAAGGATGTTGTGTTCAATTTTAATCAGCTTAATATTAGTAGTAAAAAAAAAAAACCAACAAACATAATTATAGAATTTTAGAGTTAGAAAGTCTTTGTATTTCAATCAGACAATGACCATTGATTACATTCAAGCATTTAAGCACCTTCCAGTGTCAGGTACTTTGCTAGATGTGGGGACACAGATGTGAAGAGAGAGCATCCTCCCTCAAGGAGTTCACGGAATACACAATAAAATAAATACACAGGGATCTGGGGAGCTAAGAGATTAACAAATGGAGGAATGAAGGAAGACCTCTTGAAGGAGATAGAGCTACATGTTCCAAGACATGAGCAGGTGAGCTGGGAAAGGATCCCAGGAATAGGGGCCAACCTGTCCAGAGGGTGAGAACAGCAGGCAGTCTGACTTTGCTATGCTCAGAGTGCATGAGAGGGAGTAATGTATAATCAAGCTGGAAAGATAGGCTAGATCCAGATTGTGAAGGGTTTTAAGTACCAAGCCAAAGAATCTACCCTGTATCTTAAAAGCAGTTACATAGATGGGAAATCCAAATTGGCCAGTCAATAATACTTTACATGCAACAGTCATCTTACATAACACCATTATTTCATTCTAAAACTTTTCATTTTCAAATTCTTTCTTATGATTTCACTATCCTCCCGTTGGATGAAAGCAGAGTCATAGAATGTGAGGGCTTTTGGTGATACAAGGCAACTAAAGCTAGGAGTGAGGTGAGATGAAACCTCAGTACCCACCAGTTGCTTTGAGATCGAAAACAGCCACCGATCATTGGCATCATTCACATCTGTGTGTATTTCTGGGTTTTTATTTCACTGTGGAGAACCCTTTCATATTTCAAATCATTCTTAGTGTCTAGCCCAGAAGCATTCACAACCGTGACCGCATACTTAATGAATGCTTTCTGATGATGACTATTATGATTTAAATGGTAATCATTTTCCCTTTGTGTCAGGTTTCCCTGTCCTCACCTGTGTCCAGGATATAAGCTTCTGAGAGCTTAAATCCTAATTTTCTTGGGGGTGGAAGATTCGGGGGAAATATCAAAACACCTTAATTATTTCTACATTTTTAAAAAAAATATTTTTATTCTTTCTTTTTTTTTTTTGGTGAGGCAATCAGGGTTAAGTGACTTACTCAGGGTCACGCAGTTAATAAGTGTCAAGTGTCTGAAGCTGGATTTGAACTGAGCTCCTGACTCCAAGGCTGGAGTTCTATCCACTGTGCCATCTAGCTGCCCCTATAAAAATTATTTTTTAAAAATCACCCCTTTCTTTTCCGCCCCCCCCCCACCCCCGCCTCCCCAGCCTCTAATCTAATCTAATCTGACCTGATAGATGGACTCAACTATTGGTCTAAGTCTTCTCAACCGTAAACCTGGGAGAGAATATGTTAAATCACTAGAGCTTGGTATAGAGGGAATTATCCATCACAAAATCCTTTACTTATTTTTTTTCTTTAATTGTTAATTTTGCAGAAATCTCTCTAGCAACCGGCTTACCACACTGTCATGGCAACTCTTCCAGACGTTGAGTCTCCGTGAACTGTAAGTTCATCCTGAAGACCTTTCTCAAAAGCAGCTATGTGTGTGTGTGTTTGTTTGTATGTGTATATGTGCATGCACATGTGTACTCAGGGTAGTGGGAAAGCAAGGATAAGAGACTACATGTGGATAATGCTGAAGTCTTCCATCTACCAGGTTGGACAGGAAGAGATTATAATGTCCAATGGGAGCCAAAGAAATCCATTACATAGCCTGCTTTCTGCCTAAATCCATGTTTAGGTAGAGTTCTTTTCAGAAGCTAACAACCCTGCTGCCACGTGGGCCCTGGTTTAGTGGTCTGTGGCTAGTTAGATTCGGTGGTTTGGAGACAGTGCTAATGAGGCCAAGGTCATGCGTTTAGTCTTCAGTTCTCTTCTTCTGCATTTGGCAGTTAGCTCTGTTCTGTTCCATGACTGATGACAACATCTTTAACCTCAGCCAGCCATCTTGCAAATGCACATTATTGGTTACAGTAGGAAGAGGGTAAGAGTAGATGGATAAATGGAGATGCATGACTACTTCTGGAAAAAGTAACTCAAAGCAAATGCTGATGGTGGAGTCAATAATGTTATTTTTGAGCATGGAATAAATTAAGGAATGCCTTGGAGAAGACTCATCTTATGAATGGAATCCAGAGTTCTGGGTTCTGGGAATTCTTCTCATGTCCCTTTTTATTTAATGACTCTTGAGTAAAATGCCTCAGCCCAAATTCTCAAAATGTAAATTTCTCCATTGTTTTTGCTGAGATGCAAGCACTCTGGACTCATGCCTGGCCTGCTGGCCCTTCACCTCTTCCTCACACCATCTGTCAGGATTGAAGGGCATGCATGAGCCATAATCATACCTTGAGAGGCACAGCTTGCAGGGAAAGGAATATTTACATCCTGTGTCACATTATTCCATCTCACCAAGTAGGCACTACTTGTCTGCAAGGATCCTAAGGATCAAGGGCCTCTTCTATACCCACAGGAATGACTGGTTGGAAAAATACAGGTATACTTTGATTTATAGAGGGAACATATGTGTTCCTGAGAGGGTTTGCCATTTCATTCAAATCCTAGTAGGATTTGTTATTTCCTTCTTAGGGTTTACCTTACCTTTGATCATGAGGACTAGGTGAGTGATGGTGCCTGATATTGCTTGGCCTTGTAGTCTTGTTTTTTATCTTTAGTGGCATATCTCTGAAACTCATAGATATGCTACTAAAGACTCCTGCCATAGCTTGTTATTTAGAGATTATATTTCTATTTATAAACAACTAAACAGGATTCAGTTAGTGGTGCTGTTAATACCAAATATAGAAAGGTTTTAAAATGAATAGGAAAATGTCAAAGATACTAAATGGCAAGCTGTATTATTTAATTTGATCTATTGACTTTAGGAAATTGTCATAGAAACCTAGAATTTAGAAATGGAGGGGACCTCAGAGATCATCTGGTCTTTAGCTCTCGTTTTACTATTGTGAAAATTGATGCAGTGTGCCCCAAGTTACCTCAACTGTAAGTAGCTGAGTTGAGATTTGAACACAAGTTCAATGAGTCTATGTCTAAGGTTCTTTTCTCTATACCATAATGTTAATTCCTTTAGAGATTAATCTTCCACTGTCCCATCGTCTGCTTTCCTGCCAATACTGTGCTTATGCTCAGCGGTATGCACACTTTGATATTCCACTTGCATTTGAGTAAAAACGGCTCTAATTTTTCAATGACAATCTTATTGTGTATAATCTGGAGTCTTTTATATTGCCGAGGCTCAGCAGGGTGAAGGGGCCAATGTGTTGCACATTCAATTTAGTAAAGAAGTCTGTGTAGTCTGAATTATCCTAACACATCTGTTGTGCATCTATTATGGACGAGGCATTATTTTAGGGTTTGGGGATGCAGTGAGGTATAAGACATGGTCACTTCCATCAAGAAGATTGTGGTTTAGTTAAGAATTGTCTGTGTTGGGAGCTTCTATACCGAGGCTCCAGAGACACTGTCCCACTCATTCTGGGAAACAGGCTAGCATCTCTCTGGGGACATTGAAGGTCCACAGCCTACTGAATTATTGATAAAGTGTTCAGTGCTTCTTCTGAAAAATAATTGGACATGAAATCAATGGTGTGCTGCCCTGGCGACCTGTTTTGTGGAGTTTTAGAAACAGTTGTTCAATAGATACATACTGAAAAAAAAAGTTAGATTTATCCCAGAGGATCATGGGATTCTGCATTCATCTTCACCAGTAATCAATAGAGCTGTGAGCTATCAGTGACTTATGAACGAATGAAGATATTTTCTCAAGTGCAAGTCAGTGCGTTATCACTACCATATCCACTGAGTATTTTATTTCTGTCACACTGTTAAATATAAAAATAATTAAACAAAGAAATCCCCCTCTGAGGAGGCATCAATTATGTGGGGGGGGGTCTATTTATGAAGAAGAATTAACATGCTAGATATGAAATTTATCATCAGGCTGGAGAAGAATCAGGTTGCTTTTTGCTGTGGCTATGATTAAAATCTAAACAATTCCCATTTCTGGCACACAGTCTGATGATAGAACTAAAATATGATTATGGTTCCTACTCTGCAGGGGAACAGGAATGAAAGGCATTAGTAAGACTCAATGGAGATGCAAAGGAATTGTCAAGGACTAGGAAAAAGCTAAGGACCAATAGACATCAAAGGAGGAGAAAGAGAGGAAGCACCAAGCAAAAACATGCTATAAATTATTGAATTTTCCTCAAAGGCTTTTCATGGGGTAATTTTCACAGCCCTTCTTGGAGACTATATCTGCATCTGCTGTGCCTGTATCTGTTGTAGAGGACGATGAGTTAGAGACAGTCTACAAAGAATTACATAAGCCTCTGAAAATTAAATCTACATATTCTTCAGTAGGAATAACTTTAATGAAAAAATGGAGATGTGGTGGATGACAAAAAATATGTTGGAAATCTGATTTAGGATTAAGAATCAAGGAAGGCTAATGACTTGTAGACTACACGACAATCTACATATTATGAAAATTTCTTCAAGAAGTGAATTGAGGTATATCTTCAGAAATATGCTCTTCTCCAAAACTCCTTGAACAATTAAGTCATTAATGTTCTTGCTGTGATCTGTACTCTTTGTTCAAAGAAGCTTAGTAGCCTCCTAATGAATGGCAGGTACCATTAAAGGATTCTCTTCTTGATTGGAGTTTCTGAGGAGGTGAACCATGGGACATTTTTCTGACTTGTGTGACATGGGAATTGAGTAGTTAAGAACATCATTTTGTGTTGAAATTTTGTTTCCTTCCCTTCTCCCTATAAGAATGGAGTCTTTTTTAGATCTCTATTTTCTTTAGATCTTAAAAGAAATAGAAGTCCTACTTTTGAGTTAAAAAAACCCCCAGAAACCCAGCACTAGGAAATAATGGGGGAGATGTGGCCCCATAACATTTCACATGGAATGGAACTGGGGGTTTGAGGCAACTGCAAACTTGATATTAGTCAGCTGTGTGGATTAACTGTCAAAAAAAGCTATTGTACTTTAAGTGTATTTATAGCATAAGTGTGAAATATGCAACCATTGAGCCTAACTAGATTAAAATTTAATTGGAAATATTTAACAAAATAAATAAAAATACAAAAGAACATAGATCATTTCAATATGTGGTTGGATCTTTGTGCATGGGTTAGTGGCTGAGTTTGTTACCACTCAGTTACAGTATAAGATACTGTCTAAAAAAGGAAGATTAATGTCTTGCTAGGATTGGCACTGTTCAGAGCACATTTGGAGTATTATGTTGATGTGTTATGTTTTAGGATAGACATTGATAAATTGGAGAAGATCCAGAAGAGGGTAACCAGGATGAGAAAGCTTGATACCATAAAGATGTTTAGCACGGAGGAGAAAAGACCTGGAAGTGGATATGTTAACTATCTTCAAATATACTAAGGGTTATCACATGAAAGGCAGGTTATATGTTTTTCTTGACCCCAGGGATTAGAACTTGAAGGAATGAGTGGAAATTAGGTGGAGGAACATTTTGGCCCAATTTAAGGGAAAAGACACAAACCTTTTCTGAACAATTAAAGCTTCCCAGCAATGGAATGGACTACCTACATCTCCATAGAATGTCATTTGGAAAGAATCAGAGAGGCTTTCTAGTCTGATATAGACAGGAAGAAAAATTTCCTCTACAATATTTCCAACAAATAGTCACCTAGATGTCGTCAAATAAAGGGTGAATGACTGGTCATTTGTTTGAACCTTTGTTAGGGATTCTGTTCAGGTAAAAATTTTGCTAGGTAGTTTCTGAGATCCTTGTCACCTCTGAAATTCTATGATTACAAGAATTCTATTCAGGGAAGGACAAGGGAAACTGCTTTTCTTTTCCTAGAAAGGTTATAATTTAGCTAGCCCTGGTATGGATTTCAACGTTTCTTCCATAGTTATAGAGAAACATGACTTTTCCCACATCATTAAGAAGGTATGTATCTATCTTAGAAGTGTAGTTAGACAAATACTCTGGAAGCCCCCAAGGAACCTGTCTAACTATCCACTAAGGGAGAAATTTCCGTAGTCTATTTGACTTCTGCCTCAATGGATATATCATAATATTGACAGTCAATGTTTCTGTTTAATCTATGCTTAGGTGCTAAGATTCATTCTGTTGCATAGTGATCTGGACCCTTGCCTGTCCATACCAGGATAGGAGGTCTAAGAGAGAAGGATAATAGAGGGAGGGCTAGCTCAGTTTTGGTAATGAATAATCTTGCCTTCAATGAATAAAGTTGTCTTCAAAAGGCCTTACTGGGTAAACTAGCCAGACAACTGGACATTTCTAGAGAGAGAGGAGGAAAAAAAAACATCTTCCTCAGGGATACCTAGCAATGTAGTTAGAACTTAACTCAACATAGGCAGAGACTAGTGGGTGATGGAAGGCTCAGCGCTCCAAGTCCTGGAATGTGAACTATGTGATAGCTCTCCATAACTGAAGACTTCAGTGTCTCTTCCTGGTTTCTTAAAAGAGCTGGAACTGTGTTTCTTCATGAACCCATGTTATATAGCCTGCCTCCCCTGAGTCTAATGAGGTTTGATGAAATGGCATGCCTATTTCTCCACTTCATGCCTTGGCACCCTCAACCATAATCCAAGAAGGTCACTGGCACCAAGAATGCTATGGAAAAAGAAAAGAAAATCAATTTTTCTAAAAACCCAATCATGGCCTTGGCCACATTCCAAAGAGCCAAAGTCTAGTTCAGGACAACATATTCAGTAACTGGACTGAGTTAATTTGTGGGAGGCCTCCTGTGTCCTACAATTAGGCCCTGGGCCATTGAGGTGCTAGGGAAGGGTGTTGGTAAATTTTGCCCTGAAGCAGCTGCTGCTGTATTATTCATGGGGACCTCATACATTATTAATAGGCCTAAGAAAGCTGTACTTTATTACTTACAGATCTGCCCCTGAAACTCAGAGATGGGAAGCTTCTGCAAATGACCTGATTTTGTGGAGGATGGCTAATAAAGAGGAGAGAAAAGGGCAATATCATTATAACTAACTACTTTGCCCTTCCTTACCCCTTATTTAATTCTCCACCTGGTCCCCTCACCTTTCAGGGAGTCACAGTGGTTGCTGGGTCTGCTACTTGCAAGTTGGGAATCAATAGGAATATCATATTAAAATCACTTTATGTACCAATGAATGCCTTATACAACATCTCACCAGTAGCACTACTTCCAGAGTCAGTCACTCAAACCAATTTTCTACCAGAATCTCTAGGATGATCTGTGAATTTGTTTAGAACAACTTTTCAGCTCAGATATGTTGTTCTCCTCTGAATCTACTCTGACTTAGTTATGGTGATATAGACACCAACCCTACATAAGGAGAAACTTCCAAAGAATGTACAGAAATACAAGGTTAGTTTGGCAGGTTGGTACAAAAACCCTCTACCAAACCCCCACTCCAAAGCCTCCTCATAGAATGGAGGTGAATCTGGTTTCTGAAGGTCTGTGCTAGTGGAACATAAGCTTTGGCAGATTTTGCTATGCTGGGAAGTCTTTGAGTACAGTTCTGGCAATGGGCTTTTTCAAGGAGCAGCATAGCTAAATATGCAAAGGCTCATCACCAATGGGTTGAGCACTCAGTGATTAATTCTTTGTTCATGTCAATTCATGAAACAAAGAAAAATGCAAAATCACCCTTGGTTTTGTGCTGCCCCCTTCATATTCTGCAGCAACAGTAGCAGAGTGGTGAAAAAGAAGGCAGAGGGTGCTGAGAATTACAATTTTAAGATAGTCTATAAATATTAACTGTTTGTACTCTAAATGTGAGTTTTCCATCAAATGACCAATGAATTGACACACTACTAGAGGATGTCAATATTGACATTCTCATTATCAATGAAGACAAAAGTAAGTTGAAACTAAATGGAAGGATGGCTCACAAATTCTTCTTGGAGACGTAAATAACAGAGTTGGAAGAGTTGGTTTAATTGTGCATCCAAAGGAAACAAAGGACTATCATTTCATGAGACACTTGGACATCTCTTATAGTATTGCTCATTATGAGTATTTGGGGGGAAAAATCACCACAAAAAAAAATTGTAGCATATGTGCCTACATCTGTTGCAGAATATGAAGAGGTAGGAAAATTCCACCAAATTCTTCATAAAACCCTAAAGATTAAATTAACATATACTTTAATGCTTGGTAACATCAATGCAAAAGTGAGCATAAGGAAAGAAGAACAATGAAAAATATGTTGGAAAATCCAGCTCAGGATTAAGAAGCAAGACAGGTTAATGGCTTGTAGACTACACAGAAAACCATGTATCATGAATATTTTCTTCAGGAAGTGAGTTGGTATACATTATACATTGTGGAACAGCTCCAAAAATGAAACTGTCTGTATCTTTACAAAAATATATAGTCTGGTTAACATTGTCAGGATTACTTCCAATCAGTTGTCTCTATACAGTTAAACCCATTGACTTGTTATAGTAAAAGACAAAATTGATATCAAATTAGAAAAAAATAATTTAATAATATATACCATGCAATTAAAACAGCTCACACTTCATTCATTCAGACAAGTTACCAACGCTGAAAATGGGAAGTGAATAAAAGAACATACAATGAAATAGACTAGGATACTTTTCTAATAACAATAGGTAGCAGTTATATAGTGTTTTAAACTTTGCAAAGCACTTTCCATGTGCTGTCTCATTTGATCTAGGGAAGTTTAATTTATGTTAATCAATCATCATAAAGAAGAGTCCAAATGAGCCTACAAACCACTTCAGAATATGTTTAATCTCCTTATTAAATGAGAGAAATGTCCACCAAGGGCAACATGAATTTAGGATATAAATTTATTTAAATATACATTAAATTAAATATAAAACCATCAGATAAAAATGGACAATATCTACAAAATTTTTTAACAGACTATTTTCCCTATCAATGACAGAAAAGCTACCATATTTGGACTCTAAAATCCCAGTCCCTGATGAGCTGTATGAGGTAGCCAAGATGGTGCCAAAGGGAACAAAGGCACAAAGCACAGCTGGACCAGATCACATACTCACAGAAGAGGATCATGATGGGAGTGTTGTAATTTTGAAGACTGAGGGATTTCAATCTTAAGAGATCCAAGAGTAGGAAAATACCAAATACCAGAAAAGATCACAGACATAGTTACTAGTGAAAAAAGGTGGAGAAAATGGTATGAGCTAACATAAGTTCTTAATTTCCTCTCTTTATGAAATCTTTATAAGAATGATCTACACATATATAGATACATTTGATAAGGGTATAAGAAGAGAATAGCCAAGTTTTTGCAAATGATCTGCTTTCCTAGACCACATCTTTATAATCATGTACTTGGTTGAAAGGTCCAAAGAGAACAAGATTTCAAAGCATTTACTGTTGTTTTACTATTACAAAGCATTTGATTCAATACCAGGAAATAGCACCTTAAAAGGTGTCTTCCATACCTTCCATGAAAGGTATTAGAAGAGAGGCGTATTTGTTTGATGGTCCACCTTAAGGCTTTTCAACAAATGGAATGGGCTTTTTTTTCGGTGTGTTTCTTGCTAGCAGAGGTCTTCAAGTAAAGCCTGGATGACCATCTGATGGGAATGTTCTAAGAAAAATTACTGTTTATGGTTCATCTTCTTTTGTATTCTAGGATAACGAGTCTTTAAAATCTTTCTCCTTTCCATTTTAAGGCTCCTTTCCTACTTCAGGACCCCATTAACTCACACCTGGATTATTGCTATGACCTTCTGACTGTTCATCACTTTCAGTTTCTTCCTCTTCTAGTCAATCCTATATATTTCAGCCAACTTTACATTGAAAAAGTCCCTCACTTTGATCAGGAAAACGTTTAGTGGCTCCCTAGTCCCACCAAGGTAAAGTCCCCCAAACTTTAATATGTATTTTTGGCTCTCTGAAATCAACGTCTCCTTCTTTTCTTACATTCTTTTCTCACTTCTTTCCAAAATTCAATGCAATGAGCATTTATTAAATGCCTAGTAAATGCAAAATTCTATGCTTGAGTGCTGAGAAAGAGTCAATGAAAGGAAGACAAAGCCCTTGTGTTCTAGGGAACCATCAGGAGACACAGGGGTTTTTTAAACAGTGACCGAATGACCACTTGTCTGCATCTTATAGAAGATTCTTGATCAAATATGGGTTGGACTGGATGACCTCTGAGGTCTCTTATAATTTCAGAGTTCTGTGATTCTGTGACAAGTAACCAATCAACCATAATATTAAATACAATGTGGCAAGTTTACCTAAGTTGTGTAAACATGGTTAATATGAAATTCAAGAAAACTTATTACTTGGGGACACAGAAAAAGCTTCCCAGGGGACCTTTAAAAGATTCTTATGATTACAACAGGTGGAGGTAGGAATGGAAAATGGCATGTCACAGCATGGAAATGGGATAATGCAGGTTCTGTTCAGGCAGTGGTGTTTGGCTAGAGCATAGAGTATTTGAAAAGGAAGCAATGTAAGATAATTCTAGAAAGGTTAGTTTTTGCCAAATTGAGGAGCATGAATGTTCTTTGGCGGGCAATGGGGAGCCATTGAAAGTTTTTGAGCAATGGAATGGTGTAATCCATTTTGTGGATGAGGGATATTAATTACTATCTGGTGAATAGGAAAGGAAGCAGATTTAATTCATCTTTTCCCTAATTTTTCTAATTCAAAAAGAAAAAAAAAACAATCATAGATGAGTAAACTTTTGGCAGTTTTTTCATAAGGTTTTGCTAAATACACTCTTCCCTGAATCTCTGAAGACCAGGTGTGGGCCATCTCTGCTTCTCTAGTAAAATTCTAGGAGTTACCCTGTTCTTTGGTTGAATGATTTTCTTCCTCTATTTTTGTCCATAGGAGATTAGAGCAAAATTTCTTCAACTGTAGCTGTGACATCCGCTGGATGCAGCTGTGGCAAGAGCAGGGTGAGGCCAAACTGAACAGTCAGAATCTCTTCTGCATCAGCACAGATGGCTCTCGAATTCCCCTGCAGCGTATGAACATCACCCAGTGTGGTAAGTAGGCTGAATGAAAATGTCAGTTCTCCTGTCTTCTCCCTGCCCCTGGCGAGGCCTAGGCTCCTTATCTTCTCCTAATGACTGGGGCCAAAAATTATTATGTCAAACTATGACCTCCAAATTTTCCTACTGCCCCTTCAGCCCTCATCTCATGAAACACATGTGAGATTCAAGAAAATTACAGTGTCTCTAATTCACTGTGCCATCCCTATCCATTTTGGGGCCAGTTATAGGAGTTGGTTTCAGGAACGCAGGAGAACTAACCATATTCCTTTCAATTATCTTCTACTTCTTCCTCTCTGTCTTCTTCTCTTAATGCAATTTAATTATGCTATTTTGGGAAAGACAGTGTGATATATGGGAAAGAGCACTGGTTAGAATCCAAAGAGCTGGGTTTGAGTCTATACTCCATTATTTATTAGTTGTATAACCTTGGCCAAGTCGTTTCTCATCCTTGAGCTCCGTTCAGTATCCTTCGGGATAAAATGGAGAGAATGAAATTTTCCTACACCTATCTCACAGGGCTGTTGTGAGGATAAAATCAGCTTATTTATGTCTATCACTTAATCAATAAGTCTTAAGGACTTACTTAAGGTATTTAGAGGTTTAATCAGCTTGCTCACTTTTCAAGTGTCAAAGGTCAGCTTTGCATCCAGGTATTTTGTACCTCAAATACAGCAGTCTAGCCATTTTTCTATGCTACCTAAAATGCATGATAAACAGTATACCAACACACACATTTAAAACATTAATTAAAAAATTAATTAAATTAAAATTATTTTAAAATACATTTTGTTCATCTATTGTTTTTATACCACCTGCATTTCCCGATGGATTCCTTCCTCCTTATCCCCTCCAAGACAGAGTCTTATAACAAAAACATTTCAGCAAAATTAACCTATATGTTGAGAAAGTCTGAGATGCCTGATATACAGACTTTCATTCTCATATTCCCCCACCTTTACAATGAAGTGTAGGAGATGCCTTCATGTGGCTCTTCTTTGGGAATATGTTGGTCATTATGCTTTCATGCCATTCAGTTTTATTGTATTGTTGTTGCTCTTTCTATTCACATTATTGTCGTCATTGTATGTATTCTTTTTCTGGCTTTGTTTCATTCACTTTGCATCAGTTCATATGGGGTTGGTCTTCCTACATTTCCCTATGTTCATTAAACCCATCCTTAAACTCATCCTTTCTCACAGCATAGTAAAAACAAAGCTATTCCACAATTGACAGGTATTTAATTTGTTTCTACAGTAAATATTTTATTGCTTATGGGTCCTTTATTTTTATTGTTGACCTCTTTGAGGTATATATCTACCAGTGAGATCTCTGGGTTAAAGGGTATGGACATTTTAATCACTTTCTAAGTATATTTCCAAATTGTTCTTCAGAATGGTTAAACCACTTCAGATTTCTACCAGCCAGTGCATTAATGTGCCCCTCTAGCCACAACTGCTATATTGTTGACTGTTCCCATCTTTTAAAATTCATTAGCTGTGAGATGATATCTCAAAGTTGTTTTGATTTGCATTTCTCTTATTAGTGATTTGGAGTAGTGCTTCATATGGTCATGAAAACATAAACTACCTATTCAAAAATCAGTATATTTGCTGAGAAAGTTTCCTTGGGGAAACTTCTCATCACTTTCCACATTCCACTATTCCCTTCCTTGACCTCCCTCCAGCTCTTTTCTCCCTTGGGCAGGCTAACACAGGTGGGAGGGAAATGCCTAGCATCTAGCTGCTGCCTGCCACATGCACTATGGTTGGGGCTCTGTGGGCTGAGCTGTGAGTTAGAGCTGTGATCAATCAGTGTGTCCTGTTGTCTATGTGGAGAGAAGATCAAGGGCACCTTTGGCTTTGTGTCAAGCTGTTAATAAGGGGGATGGGACCAGTCCGTTCCAGCTAGGGAATTATAAATTGTGTCGATTGAAGCTGCATAAACGTTCAGTGTTGGTGGCTGGGAGTGAACTGGAGAGTCCCGACCCATCCTGGGAGAGAAAAAACAGTTGATTACTAGTCTGTTCCATAGTGTGGTGGTGAGGTCAAGTACCTTCTTAGTATTTACCATCTTACCGGTTGCCTAAGAAGAGAGTCAACTCTTTCCTGAGCCCATCAACTCGCATAAATTAAATGCCTGATTGCATGTTACTATGAAAGCAAAAAAGGCAGATTCAGTCCCTTTCTTTTCTTTTCTTTCTTTCTTTCTTTTTTTTTTTGAGGCAATCAGGGTTAAGTGCCCAGGGTCAACCCAGCTAGTAAGTGTCTGAGGACAGATTTGAACTCAGGTCCTCCTGACTCCAGGGCCTGTGCACTATCCACTGCATAACCTAGCTGCCTTGTCCTTTCTTCTTTAGGAGATTCTTTAAGAGACATTCTTCCATGGATCTTTGTTGTTCTAGGATCTTTATACAGCAACAAATCTATTTGTCTTTTATATTTAGTGAAAGATGTTGTCAAGAGGAGGCTTTGAATTTTCTTCTAAGACCAGGTTTCTCTGGTCTTTAGGACCCTGAGGGACAAAACCATTTTATCCATCCACCTTGGCTTAGCATGAGGCTTCTGACCAACTATAAAAGAGGCATAGGAGAATAGATTTAGAACCGGAAGAGACCTTAGCAATAATCTTGACCAATGCCCTCATTTTACATCTGGGGTAGCAGAGGCCCAGACAGATTAAAGGACTTAGCCACGGTCACATAATATGAAATGGCAGAGTCAAGGCATGAAACTTGGTCCCTCTGACTGCAGGTGCAAAACTGTTTCTATTATAGTTTTCTGCTTCTATGCAACCACTTGCTGAAAGACATTAGGTTGTAAACTCTTTGAGGTCAAGCACTATCATTTGCCTTTCTTTGCATCCCCGGTTCTTAGCATAGTGCCTAGAACATAGTAGGTACTTGAATAAAGGCTTGTTGATTTGGGGGAAGGAGTCTGATTTGGGACTCCATACTTGGGACAGTTTCTCTTTAAGGTAATCATGCACACCTTAGAGCCTGCTAAGCAATCACAGGCTTGAAGATTTAGACCTGGAAGGCACCTCAGAGATCATCTACCCCCTTATTTTACAGATGAAACAACTGAGGCCAGGGAAATTAACTGGCTTGCCCAAAGTAAGAGAGGTAACATCCTTTCCATTGTTCTTTACTGCTGTCTTGTTACCCAGATCTCATCTAGGACTTTTTCTAGAACACGGATCCTGTTTACTGAGATAGGGGAGGGAGTGATAGCCTTCCTAAGCCCAGTAAGAGAGTGAGGCAGATACAGCTACACAATCATTGCTGATAATTCTTTTGTCTTCTCCCACCCCTTAGACCTACCTGAGATCAGTGTAAGCCACATTAACCTGACAGTACGAGAAGGGGAGAATGCTGTCATCACCTGCAATGGCTCTGGCTCCCCTCTGCCTGATGTGGACTGGACTGTCACTGGACTGCAGTCCATCAATACCCACCAGGTAGGCTTTTAGGAAGGAAAAGATGTGAGCACAGGCCAAGTGTAATTGCCACACAGTCTTAGAAGTAAGCTTCTCTCAGCTCCAAGGTGCCAAGGGCTTAAAAAGGAGTAGTAGCTGAATGGTTAAAGGGAGAAATACACATTGGACTTGGGACTTTTCTTTTTAGGATAATTAAGTGCACCTAATGTAGTGTAAAAGCATATGGACAGGTATAGCTCTCCTACCTCGCTCTCCCTTAGGTTGTGTTGGAGTTAGGAGGGGAAAGGAAAGGAACTTGGTGGTGGTGGGGAGTAAAAAGAACTTTGGCTAGAAGTGACTTGACTATTATTTCTCCATTGGGGTTTTCAGACAAACCTTAACTGGACCAATGTTCATGCCATCAACCTGACCCTGGTCAATGTCACCAGTGAAGACAATGGCTTTACCTTGACCTGCATTGCTGAAAATGTGGTGGGCATGAGTAATGCTAGTGTGGCACTCACCGTTTACTGTGAGTATGAGCATATGGCATCTCTGTGAGAGAATCTAGGGCTCATAAGAGCCTATGGGGTGGGAAACAAGGGACATCAGTAGAATTGACTTAGAGTTGAGGGCCTCTTGCCTAGAAGCTGTGAAAAGGCTATGGAAATAATGTACACATGTATTAATATACACACATGGTTTTTTCTGAGTCTGGACAAGGGGTGAGGAGTCCCTAATTCTTGTAGAGCTGTGTCTGCAGTGTGTAGACACCTCTTGTAGAAGTGTGTCAAGGCCTCTCCTGAGATGATCTTGTAAGCATGTATAGTTTTGGATCTTGTCCCTTACCTCTCTAGACAAGCTTCTGAAAGGTGCACAGATGGAGATACCCTACTGAGAGGAATCTTGGGAGTCTGGCTGAACCAAAGTGACTTTCCACTTATCTGCTGGTAGAGCTATCATTCCTCTAGACAACCTTTTGAAAAAGAAAGTAGGCAAAGAAAATCTGTGATGAGAAGCCCCAGTTCCTCCAAGGTTCCAGGATGTGAAAGCTTAAAATATCTCAGCAATTTAGATGTTCTTCCCTTTGGCAGATCCTCCACGTGTGATGAGCCTAGAAGAACCCGAACTGCGTCTGGAGCACTGCATCGAGTTTGTGGTCCGGGGGAACCCACCCCCAACCCTGCACTGGCTGCACAATGGGCAGCCACTGAGGGAATCTAAGATCATTCGGGTGGAGTACTACCAGGAGGGTGAGGTCTCTGAAGGCTGCCTCCTCTTCAATAAGCCCACCCATTATAACAATGGCAACTACACCCTCATTGCCAAAAACCATTTGGGCACAGCCAATCAGACCATCAAGGGTCATTTCCTCAAGGAACCCTTTCCAGGTGAGGGGAATGAAATTTTTTTTTCCCACCTTGGGATAGACTCAATATCCCCAAGAGTTTCCAGTTATATTCTATAGTTTGTGGTGGGGAAGGGAAAACAACTGTACTTTAGTATTACCAATGTGAATTGATTTGATATATTGAATTCAACTAGAACCATTGTGCTGAATCAGCACAATCTGGATACAGATCTTACTTCTAAGAGGCTACCATTCCAAGAGGGTAGCAGACATACACATTTGCACAGTTACATATTCAAGGGCATAACCCTCCATCCCTCTGAACCAGACACATATATAGATATTTTGAAATGGAAAAGACCTCAGATATCATCTGGACTAATCTCCTCATCTTACAGAGGAAGAAATGGATCCATACTGGGGGAGTGACTTGTCCAAGGCCACACAGCCAGATAGTGTCAGACCTGGAATTAGAATCTGGGCCCTTTGACTCTAAGTCCAATCTCCACCCCCGTTCCCCGCCCCTACCCCAACTACCTTACACTACCTTATGGCCAGGGGTAAGGGAGGTGTGAGAAATTATGGAGGTGGACTAAGGAAATAAGTCTGTGATAGAGTCGGGGAAGAGGAGATAGTAGGCTAAGGGCAATGACTCCAGCAACCTAAGGAGCTTCAATTATATTATGACCTTGGGAAGCTGATAATCTTTCTCTCACTCTGCACAACCTAGACTGGACCATGCCCAAGTACCTTCTATTAACTGGAGAATTTCAGGATCAGAAAGAAGAAAAGCCCAGCAAAGGTTAACAGGCAGTAAATTAGGTTATTTAAGAGGATTATATAATCTCTTGTTCCATAGAGTGATAATTTAGGAATCAGGCATCCCACTCTTGGATGATTTAAGTATTTGCTTATAGGGGATAGACCAGAGCAGCAGTTTTCAAAGTGTGGTCCAGAGATCCCTAGGGATTCATAGTTCCTTTCAGGAGGTCCATGAGATCAAAACTGTTTTTCATAATAATATTAAGATATTTGAATTTCCAATATGGTAATTATTGATGGATATAATCCACATAAATACAAACCCTTTGGGAGTCTTTAATAAGTTTTATGTGTAAAAGGGTCTTGAGACCAAAAACTTTGAGAATTGCTAAACTAGATGACCCCTTGAGGTTTCTTCTAAGGGAGGAGAAAAGGAAAGAGTAATTTAGGATGAGAGAAAGACATCAGGAGCTAAATCTGTGTATTGTTTGCTTGTTGTGAAAGGGGACTTTGCAGTCCACAAATAACTGAGAAATGTCAACTTCAGGATGTCTTATTTAACTTAGTGCAAGAGGGCTATAATGAGGAATACTGGGAGCAAAGGAAGAAAAGGAAAAATGAGGCTGCATGTTGAGAAAACTTCTTGCCAGTGAGACCCTGGAGATTAGAGAACAAGTTTTCCTAAGGGAATGATAGAGACTCCAATGTTTCAGATACTGAAAACTACACATGGAGGGAACTTAAGGGAGCTTCCAGGCCCAGGCCTGAGGAAGATCCTAGTGGGCTAAGTCCAAGAGATTTTCTTGATTGGCTCATTCCTCCTTAGTCTTCTGGAAGATGGAAATAGTTATGGCCTTTACTTTGAGTACAAAGAGTTCTCAAATTCAGAGATGGTTGGGTTGTATGTATAACTTAGTGCAAGGATTAGCTCTATAGATTCTTATGGTTAGAAGAGATGCTTAGAGGTCAGTTGATCCGTTCCACCATGTGCAAGGAGGAACACATACAAATTTGCCTAGAAAAGTGTAAATCTTTTTTTTTTTAAAAAGACTCCCTAGAAGTAAACTTTATATTCTCTTTCTGAAACCACCCATCCTGTAGTGGGAAAAAAACAAACAAATAAACAAACAAAACCTTTGGACTTGGATGCAAGTTCTACCTCTGGACACAAGTGACCATGGCAAAGTCACTGGACCTCTCTTTCCTCACCTGTAAAATGGGCATAATTATACCCATAGCACCTACATCACAGGGCTGTTATGAAAACCAAATAAGATGATGTATGTAATATACTTTGTACATCTTAAAATTCTATATTAATGCCAGAAATAATAGCAATTATATAATAACAACAACAACAATAACCATTATGATGATGATGATGATTGGGTGAGGAAGTGAACTGTCAAAATCTTTGAAGGGACTGATTTTGCTGTCTAAGAGAGGGGAGCAGTGAGGTTAAGTTGGACTTCCCTTTCATAGGCCCTGTCAGGGAAGTGAATGTGCAGAGACCAGAAACAATGGAGTGGCGTCTGGTATCCAGAAAACTTAGCTCCTTCCTTCCTGTGGGGGTGAAGCAGCTTTTTGTATTCTCTAGACATGCAGGAATCTGCCCTTTTATAAAACTCAGTGGGCCTATTTTTTGACAAAGACTCTGGATACCTTGTGATTTTTTATTCAGACATCAAAATTCATCAGAATAACTTTTAGAATATGCTGGTGATGATGGTACTATTGGTAGTGGTGTGTATGTGTATGTGAGTGTAGGTAGCAGGGGAAGATGGGAATGTCCTTGGGGAGACCTAGAAGACCTTTACTATGAATTATACCACCTGACTCATTTGCCTCTAAACTGGGAACATTTCCAGCTATAATTTCTCAGACCCATTGCATGAAAGTTTAGTTTCATTATAGAGCAGTGATTTTTTAATAATTCATCTCAATTTAATTCAGTTCTACAAACATTATTAAATTCTTACTATGGACAAGGCCCTGTGCTGGGCAGTAAAGATATAAAGATCTATAATAAATACATGAATGCATATGTATATATGTGTATAATAATAACTGTATGAACATGTACATATACATATATGTCTATGTATATATATATGTGACATGTATTTACACACATATATACACACACCTCTTGCTGTCAGCTCTTATGGGCCTTTACAGTATGATAGTGGGTAAATGACATACACTAATAACTGATACAAGTAGGACGTGTGATAAGTAAGAAAGAAAAGATCTAAGGAAAGATGGATGAAAAATTTGAGGAGGGAAAGAACATTTTCACTGAGGGGAGAAAAGTGGCAGGGAAAGTTTCTTGGAGGAGGTGGTGACTCCATTGAAAGAAGGGAGGGATTTTAACAGGCAGAGAAGTTGGATAGGGGGTATTCATCCATTCTAGACATTGGGGGACAGTGTCAGCAAAGGTATGGAAATGGGAGAGAGTAAGATGAGTATGGAGTTTGACTGGCACATGAAGTTAGATGGAAAGGAGTAATTTGAAATAAATTTGAACAGTTTTGAACAGTTAATTGAAGCCAGGTTAGGGAATGTCTTGAATGCCATGGTAAATTAGTTATCGTTTACTAAATAGAGCATGGGGAGTTACAGAAAGTTTTTTGAGTAGAAGACTCATATTGTATTAGGAAGATTGTTCAGACAATAGTAATGAAGAAGGGATAGGAGAAGAGATAGATTTGAAGTAAGAAGATGAGTTAAGAGGCTATTACAATAATCCTGGTGAGAAGGCTTAATTAGGGTGAAGTACTGTGGAAGCAGAAAGAAGGGTACAGATTTAAGAGATATCGTCAAGGTTTGATTGAGGAGCTTTGGGCAATTGGATTGGGTAAAAGATTAGAGTAAAAGATGACTCAGGATAGTGATGACATTAGAAGAAATAGAGATGGTAAGGGGTCTTTGGGGATTGAGGTGGGAAAAGGGAGTTTAGTTCACTTTTAGCCATGTTGGAATTAAATACATGATGAAAAAGTGGTGACAGGGAACAGATGGAAAAGTCATATGAAAGTGATGATGGATGAATGTATACAAAAAGGTAAATTGTTCGGGAGATGAAGCTAGAGAAGAATAATAAGGCCTATTCTTACAATCAGCTTTCCTGTCTTCCCAACCTAGGAAGCAAAGCAACTGCATGAATACACGATATATTCTTTCTACCCATGAAGGGTGTGGAGAGATATGTGTACTCTCCCCTCCCTAGGGCATTCTGTCAGGGGTGGGATGATATTCCACGAAGATGCTGCTGCATCTTAGAGATATGTCTGTAAATGTGAGAATCAGCAGAATTTCTCAAATTGGACAGAAAGGTTCCAACAGATTACCTTTAGCTCAGGTCATCTAAATCCTGCTGACAAAGAATCCATCTTCTTTTTAAAGATCCTCTGATAGGAAAGACATAGCACCAGGGGACAGTGTTGTCAGTATTTCCAAGAATGGGGTGGATCAGATCCTGGGGTCCCAGAAGGAAGCATTCCAAGCTGATATAGATATCGCAGCAAGCGCAAGTTTATTATCAGGAACCTGATACTTCAGGATTCAGTGCCCTCATTCAGATTTGCTGTTGTGGTAGAGATCATCCCATTCCCTAGCCTCATGTATACTCACAATATATTATTCCACTGGTAGTTGCTTTTCAACTAAACAGCCCCTTTCCCCCTTTGTCTCTGTTAAGAAAACATCTTGAGACATCTTATTTTGGTAATGGCTCCCTGGGGTAAGCCATCTGAGGGCTTATCCTGGGTTGGGGGGTTTTGCTTCCTTTTCATGCATCATGAGTCAGAAATAGAGCAAGAATGGCACAGGTTAATAATTAAAGAAATAGAATAAAAGCTTTTGCAATGTGGAGATGTATTTATTAAAAGGGATTTGGGAAGAATCATGAATTCTCCCTTGAATGACCATTCTGAGCCCCAAGGAAGTCTGAAAGTACAAATGAGGAAAGAAAGTAATCAAAGGGAACATTTAATGAGCATTCTGAAAATAGATTCCACCAATAAGGATGTGATCAGAGAAGTAGTGGGCACATTAGAAACGGACTCCAGCTTTGATACAAAGAGTGGTCTTCTGTCCAGAATGGTTATTTCAAAAATGTGATGCTTGATCTGTTTAGGGTCCTTTGGGCCTGGAGAGGCTGTCAGAAAAGATCAGAGATGTTGTAAGGAATAAAGATCAGAGGGAATAGTCTGAAGAAAAAAAAATAGAGGAAGATGGATGATTACCCACAGGTGGAAGGAGGAAGATTAGGGCTTAAAAATGTTCTCAAGTTAGGGAAATAGTAGTTGAGGGGCATAAGAAAAGGGAAGTGTTGTTAGGCCGAGTTTGGAAATCAGTCAGATGTCAAAGGGGAATCTTCACAGAAAATACTTAGGCATGGAATCCAGTGACACTGGTCTCTTTTCTGTTCCTTGAGGTTTATCTCCTGGCTGGGTATTTCACTGGCTGTTACCTATGCCTGTAATGCTCTCCCTCCTTATTTCTGCCTTGGCTTGTCTGACTTCCTTCAAGTACCAGATAAACTTTTACCTGCTATAGGAGGCCTTTCCCAATCCCCCTTAATTTGAGTACCTTCCCTTTATAGATTTATCACCAATTTATCCTATAGACAGTTTGTTTGTGTGCTGACTTCCCCATTAGAATAGGAATTCCTTGAGAGCAGGGATTGTTTTCTGCCTTTCTTTGTATCCCCAGCACCTAGCCTTGTAGCTGGCACATAGTAGGCACTTAGTAAATATTTTCTGACTGATTTTGGTTTTTCACTTGGTCATTTGGTGACTTCACTTTGAAGCTTTAGCGCTGGGTCTGTTAGGAGAATGAGTAGTAGAAAAAGGCTTGAATTGGTCAGATCTGGCTTGTAAGCTAAGGTTCTGGTACCATCTCCCTTGACCATGCCAGCTGCCTTCCACGTGAGGGCATAGTATGGGTTCAGAGGTACTGCTGTCAGTGCAGTATAGGGAGCTGGGAAAAGGGTGGCCATTTTAGCAGCATCATCATCAGAGAGAGAAAAGTTTGACTCTAGCTGTTTTTAAATGAAGCTTGTATGTGTGAGATGCATGTGTTAGCGAGCAAAGAAGCAAGAAAGCCCATTTCTTCTCATCAGTGACCTGGGTTTTGACTTTTTTAGGGGGAAGGGACTAGGAAAGAGGAAAGATGTCTTGTTGTCCTTGCTTTTGAGCCCTTTTTGTATCTTGGCTATGATCAGGAATGGTTGAACAGAAGTCCTTGGTTCTGTTCTCCTTTCTGTGGGCTTTACTTGCTTCCGTCGTTGGGGGCCTTCCCAGGGGTATATTGGGCCTGTGCCCACTGAAAGATGTCAACTCTATTCTTCCTAGAACAAAGGATTCAGGTGATGATCTGACAAGGATGTTTCTCTCCCCACCTCCCAACAATTTTCCCAGTCCATTCTCCCATTCAGATTTAGGTGTGAGTCCTGGTTCAAAGCAAGTTACTATTTTCCCCACCCATCAACAGTGTGAAACCCCAAATCCACCCTTGGGTTCTGTGCTGTAAATGTGGCACCTTGTTTCAGTGTCCATGTGACTCTTGGATGGATAAATGTTTCCAGACAGCAGCGAAGGATTTAAGCATTCATAGGCTGATTGGCAGATTACAGGGTTCACAGACTCGGTTAAAACATTTGGCTGACGTGAGAATATTCTCTAATAAATGAGAACCTTATGAGAAACATGCAAATCAGCATGAACCCATGAGTTGATCTGGCAACCCTGTTCTTTCAGGCTGTCAGGGCATGACCATTAAAAAAAAAAATTGGTCAGGCATTTTGTCACCTGGAGTATGGAGGCAGCAGGAATATCAGGCCAGGAATTTAGATGAGGCTTAACAGCCTAAGAAAATGGTGAATTGATACTGATTAATGTTACCTCAGAAGTGCCTGGGTTAAGCTTTCCCAGAGAAAACATCACTTTCCCTTGAGGTCATTACAGAAGATTGTTTACTGGCTAGAGCCTGTTGGAGCTGGCAAGGTGGCAAAATTGGATCAAGGGGCTATGGTTTTCATTCATGCCCTCACTGAGTGTATCATAGGTACATGGTAGAAAGGTCACTTCAGGATGTCACCTCCCCAAGCTTCCCACTTAAGGAAAAAGGTATATCTTTGTAATCTGTCAATGTAGAGGGCCTTTTGATGTTAACAGGGAAATAGAGGAGAAGTCAACTCTTCTGGGAGATGGAGGGAAGTACATCATGGAAGACCAGAGATAATCAGTACAACCAGGGTATGAAATCTGTTCTGGGGTTAGAGCACCACAAAACAACCTATTTTACTTGCCTTCTAATACAAATGCTTGGACATTCATTCTTCAAGCACAAGTGGTACTTTCAGAACACAATGGAAAGAGCAGGCTTGTCTCCCCGATGCTCTTTACATCATACCCTTACATCCCTCCCTCCACCATCGCTATTCTCCCTGGGATCCAAAGAAACAACTGTGGAGTAACACAAGAGGGCTGAGGTTCCAACTCCTCTCGCCACAGTGAAAACAGCATGACCTCCAGGTATGGAGACAGTGATGCCTCTTCCAATCAGAGTGATTATCTTCAGTCTGTCCCCCAACACTGTGGACATCACATAAGGTGATAAGATGGGATAGCTGGCCTGTAGCTGTAATGTTATCAAAGCAATGATACATCAGGGTGAGGGGGAAAGGTGATGACTGGCAGAAATGGCTGTCTTACTCCATTCTGTTTTTTATTAAATGTGTTAATTATCTCTTTGTCCTTTTTGCAGAGAGTACGGATAACTTTGTCTCAAGTAAGTCTCCTTTGCCTCTTGCTTTGCAATTGTTCGTGTTCTCGATCCTTTCTGTTAGTTCCTCTGAATTCAGACAGCTTTCCTACCTCCCCAACCCACAGTTGAGAGGATGTGAGATTATCTGTGGTAGAGGGAATTGGAGGATAGGGTCTAGGCTGCCGGGGCAATTTCTCCTAGGCTCCTTTTTACTTAGGAAGAACTCTAGGGTTAGGCTTTTTAGATGCTGGGTGTCTACACTCCAGTTTTACTTACCTGACTAAAGTTAAGGCTGTTTAGAGGGTTTGAGGAGTTTTCTGTACCCTGGCATTGTAGTGAATCTTGCTAGGCCTAACTTTTATCAAATTGGGTTTGGGTTTATATTGAATGTCCCAGATGTTAGTTCTTATAGGAAGTATGATACCCAAGTTTTTAAATGTCCAATTGTGTATTTCCAACTTATGTAGAGATCAAGGTTGGGCACAGATGGATTGCAATGTACATTTTTTTTGTGAGGTGGGTCAATATTCAAATCAGTGAGATTATAGGTCCATTTGAGCATTTGAGAGATGACCAATGGAACCATTTCCTATGTGACCATGGCTTATTAGATTTTGGGAGGAACCATGGAAGTTTGAGTGTACAGATAATTTAAGAGCAAGGGTTAAACCGCTTTTAAGATAATTAGGGGTGTGCATATAATGTTTTGTGTTTTTCTGAAGGAAGTCTACTACCCTTGTCATCTCTTTCTTATGATAGAAATTATGGGAATTTGGCTCACCTGTTTTGTGGAGGTTTTCCTTCCACATCCAGGTTGCTTTATCTAGATGCAAATGTCATATGTGTTTCTTATTCCTTCTCAGTCTCTGGAGACTAGTAACCCCACCGAATGTTCCTCTAGAGATGTCCGAGGTGGGAAAGCTCTTCTCCAAGAAGATGCTATAAGTCTTAGAACAAACTAAGTCTTGGCTTCAGCATGACTGGGTAACTGAGAATGAGGCATTTCCGTGGGTATCTCTTTCATATATAATAAGTTGAGTTGTCATAATGTACTAGCCTCAAGGGGGAATGAATGAGATAGTGGTTTCTATTTTGGGCTAGGAATCAATAACCTCTTTAGACCCAAGTTGCTACCACTAAGACTAAGTAACCTCCATGGCACAAACATGGTATAGAAAAGAAAGAGAATGTGAGGATAAAGGAGGAAGAAGATAGAAGTGTCTATTGGTAGCCTGCTGTCAACAACTGCCTTAGGAGTCAGTGGAAGTAGCACTTTGAGTTGTCTGCTTTCATCCAGTCTGTTGGAAGTTTCCCCTTGTGTTTCATTCAGGGCTACATCTAGAACCTAGTTCTTTAGGCTTCATTTCAAAGTCCTCCCCCCATAAACCATTGTATTTTTCCAGTAGTTCATAGGTTATAGAGCCTAAGTTTTCCTTTTCCCTTTGAGGAAGTGGGTAATGGGGTGGATAATAGGGGTATTATTTCAAAGATGGTAGCAGTGGGCACATGTGCTCTTGAGCTATTGTATTTAGTTAGGTAATAGAAAAGGGATTTATGTTCTAGAGCCACTTCATCAGAATCTAGGGATATGTTAGGATGCAAAGGTTCAGACTGGAGTGAATGTCTTTTTGCAGGGATTGCTGGTATATTCTTTGGGTCAGGGATGGAATTGTGGCCTAGGCTCCAAAGAGTTTCCCAGTGCTCTCTAATGTGTGGTCTGTTTACTAACTGCCCTCCTGCTCTGTTCTTTTGGTTCCAGTCTATGAAGTGAGCCCCACACCTCCTATCACCGTGACCCACAAACCAGAGGAGGACACTTTTGGGGTGAGTCATATCCTGGTCAAGAAGAGTTAACTTCTCCCAAGGGGCCTGACTGGGCTTGGTTCAGGGAGACTCTGATTAGCACTATACAGAGACAGAAGAAAGCTAGAGACTGGTGTTTCCCTAGGGAGTAAGACTGGATATTTAAAGCTGAGTTCTATGCCTCTAGAGGTAGACTGTCTTTAAAAAATTTTTATTGATGTCTTTTGTTTTTATATCACCTTCATTTATATATAGATATAGATATAAACCTATCTATATCTATATCCCCTCCCTTATCCATTAAGCCATCTCTTTTAACAAAGAATAAAAAAGAAAAAAAAAAGGAGTTTTTCAAAACTAACCGACACATTAATTGAGTCCAACAGGATATGCATTGTTTCATGTAGGTAGTCCCCAAAAGAGGTGGACTTTCTACATAACATTTTGACATGGTGGTTGCCTGTTTCTCTGAGTCCTGGGATGACCCTTTGCTCCATGTAGCATTTAGGAATCAAAGCTTTTTGAATAAAAAAAGCAAAGGGGAAGTCATTTATGATTGGTGGTTGAGTCAGGTTCCAAATACCATTCACCGAGGATGGGAACAGCTCAGAGAATGGAATCCTGGAACCAGGAGTTCTTCCTACCAATTTATTGTGGTAAGTTTCTTGGGAGTCTTCAGTGTCTTGTTAATCAGTTTCTTAATGCATTTTATGCAGCAGGCACACAGCATCCTGTACTGGGAAGAGCTGCTGTAAACCCCTCATTTGGGCAGAAAGCACTTTTGCAGCATACTCTGTGGGACCCTGGTGGTACACCTTGATCCTAAGTAGTATGTTTTATTCCTCTAGGTATCCATAGCTGTTGGACTTGCAGCTTTTGCCTGTGTCCTTCTGGTGGTTCTCTTTATCATGATCAACAAGTATGGCCGACGGTCCAAGTTTGGAATGAAAGGTATGGTGGGGTTTCCATTCATTAGTATGGGTGCCTTTGGGGAGAGCTGAATCTTTTGACTGTAGGATGCTCTTTTAATCTCCTTCGGTCCCTGAAAGGATTCTCTCCCAGTCATCCGGAGGCCAGTAATGCTCCCTAATTAACTTCACTGGGAGCTGCCTGCTCTATGGCTGTGATGAGTAATTGCTCAGCCTGGGAAACAGGGGCAGGGATCTTGCCCACTGGTGCCCAAATGTGGCATCTCTGTTTTTGCTGGAACTGATGTACAGAACTTGTTAACTGTATTGGTGGGAGCTGTGCTGGTTTAAGAAGAAGGTTGGGAATGCGACAATGGGAGCAAGAGAAGGGACCATTTGGGTCCTATGGTTATGGTGGGCAGATTGAATTCTTGCTCCTACAAACTGTAGCCCAGAAATTGTTTTATTATTCTCTGAACCTCTTCTTTGGGATCTGAAGAAAGAGTGGAGTTGCATTGGCTAGGAAGGATGTGAGTTGACTGATTCTTCTGTGAAATAGCTGGCCTATGGTGGTGTCTCAGCATGTAGCTCCACACAGGGTCCCAGGGCCAATGCCAAGATCAACAGGCTTTCTAAGTCCACTGGCCAGGTTCCATAACATGGAGTGCTTAGCTCCAGTACCGGGTGGTGGTGGCTTCTGGCCAAGGTTGGTGTAACGGGTCTAGCATGAGAGGGGTTAACATGGTAAATTAGTGTCCATCCATGAAGTCCCAATTGGGGGCAGGGATAGGCCTGTCCAAATGAGATATGGAAGGTTGTGGTACCAATCTTAAACCTGGAACTTTTTCAAGACACTCTGAGCTCAGAATTCCTTTCCATATCTGGTGTTGGACTGGGTTAAATGAAAGGTATGGCCTGACATTTTCTGCCTCCTGTAGAGGATTTATTTTAGGTGCTGAGCCTGGAATTAGGTTGATGTTTTCCCAGTAAAGTTATGGGGAATGAGTAGAATTAGACATGCTTACAAAGTGGTGGACCTATTGCCTTTAGCAAATGGTATCAAGGAATTGAGAAAAGAATGGAGAAATGAAAGGGAAAACTTGAAGTTCTTGGGCACATTGGCTATGTGTCCTCTCTGTCCTTTTGACTTTGAGGAATATGGGACATCATATCCTAATGAGTTGCATTACTTTAATATTAGCTAAATTGGCCAAAAAATGTAACTGGGAGAAAATGCACTAGATTAAAATAAGAAGGTAGGAGACTGTCACTGTACCAGAAGACATGAATAAGATTGATTTGCTTTTGTAAACCAACCTGGAATAAGCATGTTTGAACAACTGGAACTCTCCAGGTGCCAGATGTGCTAAGCTTCATATATCCAAGAATGTGGTAGAGTTATTCTTGAGGCTTTTGAGGTGGCTGTGAATGTTTTCCTTTTGAACAGTTATGTCTAGGATAATCATGCTTAAGTGATCTTCTCTAATTAAGACAATTTTTCCTTAGCTGCCCTTCCCACCATTTTCAGAAATACTATCCCCCTCCCCCCTCACTGATAAGAGGGAGAGGGAGCTGCCTCTCATTCCCGAAATGAAGCACCACCAGCTGAGACCTTGCCACTTGCTTGGCAATGCTCTGAGAGCAGATTTTTCCTGTTAATTGTCATAATGCTCCTGGAACAGCATGTCCCCATGTCGGATGAATTACACTGTGTGCTGGGTTGGCTCCACTCAGCCACACTCTGTGAACCCTTTTCTCCTCCATCCTTCTGGATCCCCTCTCTCAAGCTTAGATCTTATTAAGGTTTGAGATAAGATGTTGATCCAGGCTAGTAATAAATAAGGAATTTCTTTGGGCTTAAGGCCAGATGCCACCATGAAGCTGGGAAAGAGTCTGAGGCAAAGTGGAAAGGCAATGTATATTGAACTGAAGACATCTGATAATGAATCCTATTGAAGGACCCTCTGGTTGTGTAGAATTCTCTGATCATTATCAGCTTAATTTGTGGCTAGATATGAAGGTATACCTGAGATGGTATTGAGGCTTCATGCTCAGCTGCAAGATGAGGAAACTCCCTCTAGTGACTAAACCAAAGGTAAGAAGGGAGGTACCTTTAGCCTCTCCTTGCTTATAGATGGGAATGGAAATTAAAATATTTTGTGTTATTGTTGTGGAAAAGATGGGGAGCTATGTACTAGGCAGCAGTATAATTAGGTGGGTTCAGAACTGACTGAATCAAAATATCCAAATGGTAATTGTTAATGTTTCCATGTCACTTTGGAAGGAGGTCTTCTGTGGAATGCCCTAAGTATCAGTGCTTGGTCCTGTACTGTTCAACATTTTTCTTAATAATTTTATTAAATGTTTATTGTGGCATGGTTATCAGATTTGCAGATAATGCATAACAACACACACTTCAATCACAAAAAACCTTGGTGATCTAGAATATTGGATTGAACTGAATAGAATGAAAGATAATAGGAATAAATAGAAAGTCTTGCACTTGGATTCAAAAAATCAACTTCAGAAGTTCAAGTTAGTGGAAGCATGGACAGCAATTTGTCTGGAAAAAAAAGATGGGAGGCTTTAGTGGACTTTAGTAAGATCAGTATAAGTGTGATATAGCTGCCTAGAGAGTTAATGTAATCTTAGGCCCAATTGAAAGAGGCATAGTGTCCACAAACAGGAAGGAAATAGCCCTTCTGTACTCTGCCATGATCAAGTCTGGATGAATTTGCTGAGTTCTGAGTGCTAAAATTTAGGAAGGACGATGAAAAGATGGAAAGTGTCCAGAGGAACACCCAGGATAATGAAAGACCTTAAGATCATCCTGTCTGAGAACCAGTTAAAAGAATTGTTGATGTTGACCTTCAAATCATGATACTTGTGGCAGTGAGGACAAGACTGTGTGGACAAGATAGTTGTCTTCAAGTATTTGAAGGGAAGTCATGTGAAAAAGGGTTGAGATCTGTTGTTGGCCCCAAGGAAGAACTAGCATGGGTAAAAGCTATAGGTTTGACATAAGGGGGAAATTTCTAACAGAGCTGTCCAAAAAAAGGCAATTGGTTTCTCTGTTATTGAAAGCTCTTTTTTATTTTTTTAAAAAAATATTTATTTTTAGTTTTCAACATTCACTTCCGTAATATTTTGAATTCTAATTTTTCTCCCCTTCTCTTCCCTCCCTTCACCCCAAGACAGCATGCAATTTGATATAGGCTGTACATATACATTCATATTGAACCTACTTTCACATTAGTCATGTTGTAAAGAAGAATTAGAACCAATGGGAGAAACCATGAGAAAGAAGAAACAAATAAAAAAAAAAGAAAAAAAGAGAGCAAATAATATGCTTTGATCTGCATTCAGATTCCATAGTTCTTTTTTTGGATATAGATAGCATTTGCCATCATGAGTCCTTTGGAGTTGTCTTGGATAAAGGAAGGTCTTTAAACAAAAGCAAGGTGACCATTTGTCAGGTATGTTGTTGAGGATAATTTGGACAAGACGACCACTGAAGTCTCTCTCATTTCTGAAATTTGGTGAAAAGCATAATTCCCAGCCATTTCAGGGTTATATGGGCATCATCCTATCACCCCAACCCTAATACTAGCTCCTGCCATCAGGCTAGAGAAAAGGCATTTCATTTTTTTAACCAGAACAAAAAAGTCACCTCAGGTGTCCACTATGTTTTTTTTTTTTGCTCTGTGTTGACCAGGATGCTCCATACTTCTTTCATTCCAGGAGTTATCTGAGATCTTTTCAGAATTTTATTCATTGTTATTTCTTGCTCATGTGCCATAGGTCCAAACTTGACCAACCAAACTCTCCTTTTTATAACACAACTAGCAGAGAAACCAGTCATCCTATGTGTGTGGGAAAATGAGTGCATGGAAGGGCTATAGTAGGAGTTCACCTAGAATTCTGGGGAAGGAGCTGAGTAGGGTAAGAGAGAATAGAATCAAAGAGAAGTGAATCAGAGGCAATTTCGAAGATCCTAGGTTATTCATCAGAGTCTAATGAGATAGTACATGAATGAAGAAAATCCTTCTAATGTAAAGTCCACTCTCTTTTGGACAGGAGCATTCTTTAATTAATTAATTAAATAAGCATTTACTAAGTGTCTACTGTGTATAAAGCACTGTATTTCAGGTGATGCTTCCACTCAGTTTTAAAACAAAGTCATTCTGTATGTGAAGTGAATGTGGTTAGCACCCCATTGTAGATATCACCAAAAGCTCCAGTGTTTCTGATACTACTTTATTGACTGGAGTTTTGAATAGGCAAGTGGTGTCAGAATGAGGTCAGGGCTAATATTTGCTCCTTCTTGCGTACGCCTATGGCAGAGCTAGAAAGACCCCTCTGGATTAATTCCTTCATTTTACAGATGAAGGAACTAAGGCCTAGAATGGTAAAGTGACATCATTTTGTCATAGTTTGTTGTCAAAGAGTGGTTAGATGAGCGACGTTCTAATACCAGCTCTTCTTATAAATTGGAAGGAACTTAAGAAAGAAAATTTAAAAATCACATATCCCCTTTGTGCCTCAATTTCTTCATTTGTAAAGTGGGAAAAATGCCCACTTTCTGTATTTCCCTAAGTGGTTAGGATAAAATTATATAATAGATATTAAAGTGCTTGGACAGTGACAGACAGCTATTGTAAAGAGCTTTAGAGGCAATTTTAAGGAGAGAGAGGGGTAGGAATGGAGGGGGCAGAGAGGGGGAGAGAGAGAGAGAGAGAGAGAGAGAGAGAGAGAGAGAGAGAGAGAGTCCACCGTTCCACAACTGGATACATTGGATACATTGGATATATTATACTGCATCCTTTTGCTGTGATCATCAGGGATAGCACCATGACAAAATGAAGTCTCAGATCAGAGAACCTGTGAGATTTCTATTCTCTCTACTTAAGATTGCTTCTTCTCTTTCATAGGAACAAATCTGGCCTCAGACTCTTCTCTGTTTACACTTGTACTCAGGTGTCTTGGCTTTGCATGGAGAGCCTACCAGAAGTCTAGGCAATGGAGTATTAATCTGAATGGATG